AATTGTTGGAATGTATGATCAATTGTATGTTTTGGGTAGCAATTATATGATCTGAGGTTCCTATGGGTTCTTATTGGAAACCCTAAGGGAACTTATTGTGATAATTTGTGAAACTATTAATTGATACGTATAAATTGAGTGATTTGAAATGTTAATTTCATGTTATAGAGTAAATTTATCAATTATATATGTGTTTATGCCTAAATTGGATGTGGGTAACTTGTAGTCACTAAGGAGACATGATTTCCACGAAAAAAGATCGCATTCTCACTAAATGAGGCGTGCAAGGTCGCTCAGCAAAAAGCTCAAAGGCGCTCAGCTCACTCAGCTAGATGTTGGTCACTTTGCTAGATGTTGGTGGCTCAGCTAGATGTTATTTTCTCAACGAGAGGCTCCATGGAGCTCAACTCGCTCAAAAATCATTAAATGATTGTTTTATCCTTTTGATTTTGATATTACCTTTTTAATAATGATTAGTCAGTTTGTTTGAGAATGCACATAGATATATGAGGTGATATGAGAAATATGTGATATGTGAAGTGAGATAATATGTATGTTATTGCATCGAGTCTATTTGACATGCATCATGTGCATAAGAGATTGTTTTTTAAAGGTCAGGATATGGAATACACTGTTAAAGAAGGTCCCATATGTAAAAGCTTGGGAACCAACCTTGAGGATAGCTCAATTTGGAAGTCCCAATCCTACCACTACAAGAAAAACGTAATTTTCTGATGGACATAATCCGTCGGTAAAAAGGAATATCCGTCAGAAATTCTATCTTTCCGATAGATGTAAATCCGTCGAAAAAAAGGGCGTAAAAAAATTGTCGAAAACAATTTAATTCGTCAAAAATTTTCGACGGATGATTCTGTGGAAAACAATTTAATCCGTCAAAAATTATCCCTCATACTTGACCTCTTAAGGGCTCTATTCCACGATACTTCATTTTTCAGTGTGCTTTGTCCTTACTCGCACTCTTTTTGGAAAACTTTCTAGAATGTTACTCATCCCTAAATTACTCCAAGTCAAACACGCTTAATTGTGGAGTTCTAACGAGATAAGTTACTAAAAAGTAAATGCATCTTATTAGTATAAGTAGTACAAATTAATTCCTTTAAGTCATCTTCAACTATACAATTTCATATTTGTACAATCTCTGGATCCTTCTCATTTCGATATATCCGAACTATTATAAAAATATAATAATTATATTATATTTCATTAATCTATATTTGTATATATACTTACTTTTATAATTAGCAATCTACTTATTTCTATTTAAAATTAATATTATGATAAAATTTAAATTATTTATTATAAATTTAAATTTTAAATAATAATTTATATATTTTAAAATATTATTTTATAATTTATAATGATACTATAATTTATAAATTATAAATATTTATTTATTACATATTTATAAATTATATTTTAAATAAATTATTAATTAACTTAATATATTTATTTATCTTAAAGCTAAGATATAAAATTGAAAAAATGTATTTATCCTTGTTTTATTTTCTAATTATTAGCCATTAATAAAATAATAATTTAAAATCTTATCTAAAAATATCATAATATTTTCTTATCAAATTTAAAACCAGATATTAGTTATACAAAAATATTCAGATCATATAGTAAATTGTCAATAAGATTCTAGTTAAATAATTTAAAATAATTAAGTTTTCAATTATATTTTTAGGAAATAATTTATTCTATAGCTAATCAATTCATCAGAAATTATTATATTTTTGACAAATATAAATTCGTCAAAAATATTTTGTTGATAATATAACTTTTCCTACAAATTTTTTATTCGTCGATGAAATCCGTCTGAAATATAAATTTTTTGACAGATTGGTATCCGTAAAAAATTATCTGTCGGTAAAATCCGTCAAAAATATAAATTTTTCAACAAATTTGTATTCGTCGGTAATATAACTTTTCGTACAATTTTTTTCCATCGGAAATATAATTTTTTTGACAGATTTGTATCTATCGGTAAAATTCGTCAAAAATATAAATTTTCTAATAGGTTTGTAATCGTTGAAAATTATTCATTGATAATAAAACTTTTCCTACGAATTTTTTCTCGTCAGTAAAATCTGTTAGAAATATAAATTTTCTAACAAATTTGTATCCGTCGATAATTTGCATTTTTCTTGTAGTGTACCTTCGTGAGCATGAAATGTATCTTGTGTGGCTTAACTATCTTGACCAGACACTAATAGTGTGTCCTAATGAGAGTGCGTAGAGGGTGTAATCCGACATGTATTCCTAAACTACTCTACATCTGACGCTAGTGACAATGCACAAGTGTGATATGTAATGTTTTACTAGTACCACATGCATGATATCATACCTCTTAATTTTATTAAAATTTAAAAGAAATAAAGAAAGATAATTATATGGGTAGTTGTAGGTAGTTTATTCACAAAATTGAGAGGTTGTTTCTCTGTTTTTTTCTTCTTCTTAGTAATAGAGGATAAAATGGTCACTAAAAGTATAGATAAAAATGGTTACACATCCTCTATCCCCTTTATAATATGCATAAGTATGATCAATCTTTATATACTAATAGAAAAAAGACACTTCAATATTTTTTTACAATAAAACTAATAAAATAAAAATAAATAGGAAGTTAGTATCATGGGGTGGATAGTTAGTATGATGGAGTGAGTAATTAACTTCTTAACTTCTTGTGTACACATTCATTTCTAAATTATTCTTTAAGAGATTCGTGGGTGGAAAAAGATTAGAATACAATAGAGAAAGAGATACTTCATGTCTCTTAATTTTATTAAGACTTTTTAAAAAAAATAGAGAAAGAGAACTCAATGGGTATATGTGGGTGTATATTCACAAAATTGAGAGGTTATATATATATATATATGCAATTGAAGATAAAATTAGAGCTGTCAAAACGGGTCAGCCGAGCCCATGTGGGCCAGCCCACCTTGACCCACTTTAAAAGCAAGTCAATCCAACCTGGCCTACTTTTAATTTTCTCAAAAAATATTTGGCCTGGCCCGGCCCACCACGGGTTTGTGGGTTATATGGGCCAGCCCACCAAAAATTAAAAAAAAATTATCAACAAAATTTTAAATTTTAAATTAATTATAAATTAAAATAATAGTAATAAAATTAAAATTATTAATAGTCATAAGTCATAACTCATCACACAAAATTAAATACAAATCATGATAAAAGTCCAAAATAAAAATTTTCATTATCCCATCATACAAAATTAACTACAAATCATACTTAAATTTTTATTGCAAAAAAAATTAGTGGGTTGGTGGGCTACCCGGCCCACCACGGGTTCAGCCTAGGTGGGCCGGGTCAAAGTGGGTCGAGTTAAGATATACTCACCTACCATAAAACTTTAATTCTTTTTTGCTCGGCCCAGCCCATTTTCAAGGTGGGCCGGGTTGGCCCACGGGCCTTAGCTCACTTTGACGGCTCTAGATAAAATGGTTCACTAAAAAGTAGAGATAAAAAATAGTTATACATTCGCTATCCCTTGTATAATGTCTAAATTTATATAGATGCATAGATGCATACATGTATAGATATATTGACTAATGTAAAAAAATAAAAAATAATAAAAAGAAGAAGAAGAAGAAAGGTATTTCATGTCTCCGTGTAATTTTTAAAAATAAATAGTAAAAATAATTGAAGTTGAATATGTATGGGTGATTAAATATCAGAGGGTGTGAGCAATTTTGAGTAGTTATTTAGAGGGTATAAGAAATTTGAAAAATAAATTTATAAAAAAAGTAAAGAAAAAATTAAAAACTAATAAAAAATAGTATGGGAGAGAAACAATGTTTTGGAAGTCAAGAAGTAAAAATATCAACAAAATATGTGCATAAAAAATTGTATCATCTTTATTAATAGTATAGATATATTGAATAGTAGAAGAAAAAAAATACTTTTTTTTGTACAAGAAAAAGGTACTATGTGCCTCATTATATTTATTTTTGAAAAGTTTTAGGAGAAAATGATTGCATTAAAAAAATATTAAGTTTTAAAAGTAGATCACTATATACAAGAATGAGTATTTTTCTTTTTATTTACTATGAAGAATGAATAGATTTTAAAATTATAAAATGTGTGGAGAGGTAAAAATAATCAATAAAAATTAAAATTAAAATATAGTCACTACAACATGTATCTCCTTTATAGTTTATAGTTTGTATAAATGTATAAATATAAATAAATCAATTCTTATATATTAAATTCAAATATCAATTTTGCGTAAGAGCGATTTAGAAATTTTTTTTTAATGAAAGAATTTTTAGATATTTTTTTAATTTTTTATTTAATTTATTTTTTTATTTACATAATTATTTATAAATTAAGTTTTAATATTTTTAAAATAAATCCTCAATAAATGAAAAAATATTGTGGTATAATATAAATATTTATTATAAATCTAAAATAAAATTATATATTTAAAAGTATTTATTTATATACATTTTAATTATAATTTGCATATTCAAATATAATATTATTCCTTTGTATTATATATTTTATATTTACTTTAATAATTTTTTATCTCTTATCTCTTTAAATATATTTATCTCTTTAAATATATTATTTTATATTTATTTTATTTAAAAAAATTATAAATTATTAAAAATAATTTTATATCATAATATAAATTATTTTTTAGAAATTTAAATATAATTTATATATTCAAAGTGATCTATACATTACAAATTTCAATTATAATTTAATGTGCATATGATAAGAAATATCTTTATTATAAATTTAAAGTAAATAATTTTTTACATTAACGTACTTAAAATGGTAGTTATATAAAATTACATATATTATTTTTTTAAAAATGTTAACAAAGGTCCTAATACGAAATTGGAAAATTTAATAATATTATTTATTCATAATTTTAAGTTGGAAAAATATTTCAAACTAAAGTAAAGACTGTGAAAAGTTCTGTTTAAACAGTGGAAAGTAGAAACTCCAGTTCCAAGGGAATACTGTGAAACTGTTAGTATCATAACAAAACCCAAAATCGCCGTCGTTACTCTTCGCATATCTTCGTTTTGAGTTCACTGTGGCTCTTCTCCGTTGTCGTTTTGGTTCTCCCTTTTCCATTCCCATTCAAACCCTAATCTGCCTTCAGATCCCAAATTGGGAACACCCCGTCGCCGCAATGTCCGATTCGGTTCTTCCCCTCGCACTTCTCACCCTCACATTGATGTGTAGCCTCGCGAATTCGATGCGGTTCGAGCTTCAATCGGATAACACTAAGTGCATTACAGAGGACATTAAGACCAATGCGATGAGTGTGGGAAAGTACAGTGTCGTTAATCCCAACGAAGGGTTCCCTTTTCCCGATTCCCACAGGATCGTTGTCAAGGTAACTTCGTGATTTAATCGCTAAACCCCTGTTTTCACTCTGAAAATGCACTTTCCCTAGGTTTTAAATTGTCCAAAATTCTTGACAAATGCTGCTGAATCAACACAATTGCGGTAGCAGACACACTAAAAACCTTAATGATGCGGGCAAAATCTCGTTTTTTAAGGATATAATTTAGACGTAGTACCTTAGATACTGTTGCTACTGCTCTCCAATCAAAATTGAAAGTTCGCTTCACTAAACATGTTGACATTTAATGGAATCTTTTATTAAACAGATTGCTGAGATCGGGAAACAGAACCGACAATACTTATAATACTGTATTCAAGTTTTTTTTTTTTTTAAAACCTTGCTTTTAAAAATAAAAAATAAGAAGAATTGAATCTTATAATGTAAAACATTGAATCTTAGATGGCACAGTTGTGCAATGATTCTTAATATTTGTGGTTTGTTTTGAGGTTCTGAATTTACAATGTTCTGTAATTGTTGGGATAATGGGCTCCTGTGGTTTATCTCTGTGGGATTGTCTTTGAGATTTTGTGTGTGTGTATTTGCAAGGTGAGTTCGCCACATGGGAACAGTTATCATTATGGGGATCATGTGGATTCTGGTAATTTTGCATTTACTGCAGCTGAGGCTGGTGACTATTCGGCTTGCTTTTGGATACCGGATGGCAGGCCTGCCCCCGCAATGGTGACTGTTGACTTTGAGTGGAGAAGTGGGGTTGCAGCCAAAGACTGGTCCAAGGTTGCCAAGAAAGGGCAGATTGAAGTAAGTAGTATTCTTATGTTTCGTGGCTCAGCATTTGATTGTATGTATATGATCAGTAATTTGTTATCATTATTATAGCATTTTATTTCTTTGTGTTGGTGCTCTTTTGAAACATCATAGTCGTTCAGATCCTGAACATTCAGGAGGTCTGTATTAGGCAGCTTTCTTTCGGTGTAAAAAACTGAATATGATCAGTAGTTTGTTATCATTATTATATCATTTTAACTCTTTCTGTGTTGGTGCTCCTTTGAAACATCGTGGTCGTCCAGAGCCTGAATATTCAGGAAGGCTGTATTGGGCAGCTTTCTTCCAATGTAAAATACTGAATATGATCAGTAGTTTATTATTATCAATATTATAGCATTTTAACTCTTTCTGTGTTGGTGTTCTTTTGAAACATCGTAGTTGTCCAGAGCCTGAATATTCAGGAGGGCTGTATTGGGCAACTTTCTACAAATGTAAAAAATTGTTGAATCTCTATTGCATTGATCAACAATGTAATTCTGCTAAAGTTAATTTGATGAATCTCTAATTTTCCCCCCTAAAAAGTTAGGTTTAACATACAGCCCAATGGCAGGCTTTAAACATGTAGGGGAGACTTCATTTAGTGGATTTATTTGCAATTCCCTTAGATATATTGTCTAAATGGTATTTCTTTCCTACAAGATATTTTGCACAGTGCCCAAATAAGTTGTTGCTGGCTCTTTTCATTTAAAAATAATTATATTTTAGACTTTCAATGAATAATTTAAATTTGTGATATAAGGTTTTTTACAATATGAACAAATTATTTTAAAAATATTAAAATTTAATTTTGAGAGAAATAAAAGAGGGTTGATTGAAAGAGATGGGTTGTTAAAAAGAACAAGGAGGGTAGTTTGAAATGGATGACAGAATTTTTGTTGGCTAGTAGCTTATGTAAAATACACCTCCAAAGGAGATTATAGAGAAAACATAAAGAGACTGGGAGTCTCAGTCTCTAAGTTGTGTCTTCTAATTTATAATATAGGAGTAGACTTGTACATTGCACATACAAGTTAATCTTTGCTCTTGTCATGGTTTTGGATAGTTGCATGATTATTCACTAATGTTATGCTTGTGTCTTTTCATTCTATCTGGAATGCACTGATACAGTAAGCTTTGTTTTGGTTTGATTGGCTACTTTTAGGAGATGTGGATAATACAAATATAGGGACAATATCGAAATGCTCTTGTTTTCCCTTTTCTCTCTTTTAAAATCTTTAACAGTCTAACCTATTTTATCCAGCTATTTTCTCTATGCTGAAATCATAATTATCAATCCAGGGTAGCAGTGTGTAATGGCCAACCCTAAGAAAGCTATAGTTGTATAAAGGAAATCAGGATGGTTGCTAATTTAAATATTACAGTACAAACTAAATAATGTATGCCACATATATAAATACTCAAAAACTAAAATAAAAATTGCAGAAATTTATGATAAATTATAACTCTGTTTACACACAATCACAATCAATCTTGGAGCAATAAGAGCATAGGAATGATGGCAAATAATAAAAGATCTTGGTGAAATTAATAGGGAAAAAACCTCATTAGATAAAAATTAGGAGAATGTGGACTGTGAAGTTTAAATGAAGGAGAAGAGTATATACACACAAAGAAGAAGAAAAAAAAACACGATCACAATTTTACCGCAACCTTAAACAACAATGTTTCAGGGTAAGATTTCGTTTATAAAGCCCATCACAAGAATGCCAATATAGCACACCACAATTGCAGCCATGGCTGCTACTAAAAACTTCTCTAATATTTGAATTCTGTAGTAGCCTAGGGGGCCGCTCCACTACTCCACTATAGCATCATAATAGCGAGTTACACAATATATCTGTGTAAAAGGCAGTCAACGTAATTTTATGGAATCCTGGGTCTGGTTGTATTCATAGAGAAATCAAGGAACCAGCATAACCTGTTTGAGAAAGGATGTATAAGTAACCCAGATTTTGCTTTATACGAGTTTTGGATCCATCCATTATAGATCTAGGTGTTTTGGCCTTTGTATGTTTGTTGATGAGTTGTTTTTTCTCCTATTTTCTAGGTGATGGAATTTGAGCTGAAGAAGCTATACGATACTGTCCAATCCATCCATGACGAGATGTACTATCTTCGAGAAAGGTATTTATGCAATTACTTCTGCCAACAAAGTCTCTTGATATTGTCGTGCCATTTTAGTATATAATGGTTCTCCATATGAACTTTGATGGAAAAATGATTTGCTGAGTTCATTCAAAAATTCTTTTAAATAGAATATCAGATGAATATATAGCTGTTGGGTCAGAAGAAATTTGAATATTTTGCTTTCTAGTCGCAGCTACTATGTGAATCAGAAAATTGTAGTCTTTCATGCCTCCAACTTGTTCCTTATTCCTAGTACCCTTGTGAATAAAATTCGTTGCTTAGATTTACCTGGTATGTTGTATGGGTTCATGAGAGTGATATGCCAAGGAAGGAAGCAAATGGTTGTTGTGCATATAACTCATGACAGGCTTCTATTTTATGTTTAGTTTTGAATGGTTTGGCGGTGGCTTTACATGGTCATGCACCCTATTGCTGCATGCATAAGTGTTTTTCTTCATTCTAATGTTGTTTTTACTGAATTTTGATGACCTTTTTTGTCCATGTGGCTGATATAGAGAAGAAGAGATGCAAGATCTTAACAAATCAACTAACAGCAAGATGTTTACCTTCAGTTTCCTTTCGATTGTGATTTGCTTGTCTGTGGCTGGTTTGCAACTATGGCATTTGAAGGCATTCTTTGAGAGGAAGAAGCTCCTTTAGTTCATCACACAAATTTTATTCATTTTTCTTCTGAATTCATTTATCGTTGTGTATCCAAATGTATGATTAGTTCATCTTTCACTTTTTACATTTTTTGGTAATTAGAAACATTAAATGTATGTTAGAATTATGAACTGGTATCAACTTTAGAAATAATAGTTACATTTCTGGAGAGGCTCTTTAATTTGTGATTCAATCTGAGCAGTGAATGTTATCGTGTTAAATTAAAGCCCATGAGAATATCCTTAAAAATACAAACGATCAAAATTGGCAATATTTATATCTTGTCAATGTCGGATTTTAGATGGAAACTTATGGCTACGTTAACATCTGAACTGGGATATGAGTAAATAGAGGGGTAAAGAATGCAACATGCAATGCAAATGATTCCAAAAATGTATTAACAATCTTTTGCAGATCATTGATTATGTGAAGCATCCTGGAAAAACTTAATTACTTGTCTAGACAATATCTGCTGACTATCAATTCAATTGACAATTCTTTCTACTCTGAATTATTCCCATCCCATCTCACTTTGGTACCATTCCACGTATCTCAACGAGTTAATATTGCTTTAAAACTCATTTTTCATCACTTCTTTTTGTTTAGAGCTTTGGTAGTAGAGAGATGTATTGGTTTGAAATTTTAAAGGTTACAAAAAAGTATCTTGATATTTAATTCTTTTAAATAACGTAAATAAGTCTTATATTATACGATCAGAGTTTTTTTTAAGTATCAGAATATGGTTCTATCAGTACGGAAAGTCTTTTAATCTCATTATTTTTCTTTCTTTTTCTTACTTTTTTTTCTCCATCAAAATATAAATATTTCTATTTTTGAGTAATTAAACATTTTTAAATTAAATATTATATAGTTAAAATTATTATATTTTAAAAATTGAATGTAATATTAGAGCTTCAAATTTTTGACAAATTCAAAGAATAACTTATACATTAATTGTCTTTTCTAAATTAAATATTAAAAATTTAAATTAATTATTATATAAACAATATTTACTGAAATAAAATCTCAATTTTGATTAAAAAACACTAATACTTATGGCATTATATATACGTATTTTTTTTTACACCAACATTATATTTAAATTTTATCTTTTGTAGATATGATATTTTAAGAGTGAATACAGTCAAATCACTTAGCGTAAATATAAATACATTTTATTTTTAAAAATGATATGCTTATAACAATCCTCTTTGGAATGTGTAAAATATACGAACACGGGTGCTCTGGTATGCTATGCTCACCATTTGTCCAACTACCATGCATATTATATCCAAAGTTCAAATCTTCCCTTAAAACTTATCCAGCAAATAGCAATAGATAGAAGGTAAAATGACATAATGCAGAACACTAAAACGCATTCAAACTTGGTAAGCGGGAATAATATAACACAAACTCAAATAACGGATATTATTAGAATTCCAAAGCCAAACCTCATATTCAGTTTGGATCAACATTTCTTAAAGCTCAATACTTAACAGTAATAGTCAACCCTTATTTAGTAGATAAAAAGCTATGGGATGACTTTCATTCACACAGCAACCTCTGGTTTTTAGATTACTAATCATCGTAAGTTGTGCGATGGTGATGCTTGTGGTGATGCTTCTTCCTCCCATCATCGTCATCTGAGTCATCTCCCTGCCATGGTAGGAAAACATCATAAAATGAATACCAATTTCTATACGAAGAACTTTATATAGCATGCAAATCTAATTATTCATAACTATTGAGAAGCATTTTATTCTGCTTGCAAAACCTATGAAGACTCTGGCCAAATAAAAGTTAAGAAGACTTCTGAGAACTTTTTTATTAAGAAAAAAATAGAGAAACTCTCAAAAGTTCTTCAAAGTTTTATCCATTCAAACTCTAAATTTGTCATTATTAGAATGTTGGGGCATGGGAAGTCTGTATATAGATTGCAAAACAGAGCAAGAATTATCAAAGTCTCATATTCTCCTTTTGTTCTCTATTATAAGCAAAATAAAATACACTTTTTTCCTTAAATATAAACAAATTTCAACAACTTTTATCTCATTTAATGATACTCTCTTTACAATATCTCTTTTTTAATGCATGACCTTTCAGTTGCATTACTTTTGACATTTATAATAAAGACAATTTAAAAAAATATTACGAGTAGTAAGATTAAATACAAATTACTAACTTATTTAATATGCACAAAATCAGTTTTTTTAATGCTTTTAATAGAGAAAAGAGGGTATACATGATAGGCACTCAAATCTTTGTGTTTATATAATAGCCTTACATACATGGTATCTAGATACTCATGGAGAAGCACATCACGGCACTTTTATGCTTATAGCCGGAATATTGTTAAAAATGGATGCATATGGGTTGTTCAAATTAATATGGAATTATTATATCATACACTTTCTATATTGTCCCTGGTTGATGCTATTAGGTTCGATTCAAAGAATCTATTAAATGTTTCCAACGTACTTATGACTTTGGAAGATGGGGAATGGGAAACCATTAATAATGCAAAGAATAACCAAGGTACTAATAACTTTGGGGGATGGGAAATGGGAAACCATTAATAATGCAAAGAACAACCAACTCAAAACAGTGATTAAAAAGATAAATTCTGTAATAGAATTTCAATATTTTCATTGAACAGAGGAAAGCCTGCTCAAGAACCACATAGAACTAGGAAGTTTTGGTTAAATAATCAGAATATCACTGCAGCAATATCTATGATCAACAAAGACAGAGGCACCATCTAAAGGATTAATCACGTAAACAGAAGCACAGAACAAAAAATTCAACCATTCCTTTATTGTCCAAGTTCAAGCAGAAGAACAGAACTTTAGATAGTATCAATTTTGTAGTCTCTCCATATGAGACTTTGTCAGTGGCAAAAAACACGTGTTTATGGGTTGGATAGCTTGTTGGTTGTATACTCAGTAATCATATTCATTTAATAATTCAAATAATATTAAAAAAAATTAACAAAGGGATACTACTACTTTTGAAGGCCACAATAAGAATTTACACATGCAATTCCACTAGAACTTCCAAACAAAGGAATGATATGGAAATTCTATCCCATTCCATCTGACATCACATTCTGTTCCATTAACAGATATTATAAATTATCCAAAGAAACCTTAGAAAGTTAGAACTACCTGCACTTTTCAAGATGATAGTACTTAAAAATAAAACCATTAATGGTGAAAAGTTGCTTTGGAGAAAATAGTTAAAATTCATAGGAGACAAACCATATGTTGCTAAACAAATAGAAATTATAAATATAGAATACATAAAATGTAAACTGTAGTAGAGGAAATGCTGAGAAAGTCAGACTAGTTTCATAAGAAAAATAGATATAACATGTTAACTGATATTTGGTGAAGTTACGCATTTCAGGCCAGCCTTAGCACCCTGATCCTTCTTTCCATGTATCCATTAGAAAATAAGTTCAAAAAGCTTCATGACCTTTTAAACACAATACACCAACTGGCCAATGTATAAAAGCAATGCATCAACGTAATCCACTCAATCATATCAACAAATTGCAACTAAATACCAACATAAGGCTTTTAAACTGTAAGCAATGAAGAAAACCAAACACATCCAAATCCACGAAGATACATCCTATATGAATAATCATAAGATATTCGAAAAATTACATTATAGTACTATATCAATTAGTTCAAGCAATTACAGTATTGCACAGCACAAATAATTTAAGACAATCATATTTCATACAGTTAATTTAAGTGAGGATTGAAGAATATTATTTGCAATGGCAAAGACACCATTTTACTTGAGAATCAAATGAGTATATAGTCTACGCACCAAGAACAAAACTTAGGTATAATATCATAGCTACTGCTGGTAGTATTCTTCGATTAGAATTTAAGTACCTCAGTAATCAACATATACAATTAACATAATCTTTTATTATGTATATTATCAAGGTGAAACTTCAATTTTGATTAGAGAACAAGTTCATCAGTGGCTATGTTATTTTACTTTAGTTTTGTCCACGCACCAAAGGTGTACAACATTGTCATCTAATTACAAATTATCATATAAAATACATTTGTTGACTTTTACAATAATAACTACCTTAAAATCCATATTAACATATCTGATTGATTACCGGTGTAAAATTAGACAAATTAATGATTGGTTAACAATGTAAAGTTTAGTTGAGAGTGCATAAATATAAAACTCGAACTACATTACACCAAGTTACCAAATAGTTAAAGGAATGTATGAAGTAGAAGTACTACTCACATATTTCTTCTTTCCATAGCCCTCGTCATCATCATCGTCACGCCTCCCATAGCTGGGTTTGCGGAACCCCTCATCATAGCCATACTCAACCTTTCCTCCCTGGCTCTCATAGTTGCTGCTCCCATAGCTAGGTTTCTCCTCATACTCACTCTTCCTTCCATAGCCATACTCACTCCCTTGTTCCTCCCCATACCCACTACTCTTCCTCCCACCATACCCACTTCCATACTCACTCTCCTCCTTCCTCCCACCATACCCAGATCCATACTCACTCTCCTCTTTCCTCCCACCATACCCGGATCCATATCCAGATTCCTCCTGCCTTCCACCATACCCTGACCCATATTCAGATTCCTCCTTCCTTCCACCATATCCTGACCCATATTCAGACTCTTGCTTCCTCCCATACCCGGATCCATATTCAGATTCCTCCTTTCTACCTCCATAACCCGACCCGTATTCAGATTCTTGCTTCCTTCCACCATACCCAGATCCATATTCAGATTCTTCCTTCCTTCCACCACCATACCCAGATCCATATTCAGATTCCTCCTTTCTTCCACCATACCCATATTCAGACTCCTGTTTCCTTCCACCATACCCGGATCCATATTCAGATTCTTCCTTTCTTCCACCATACCCGGATCCATACTCAGATTCCTGTTTCCTTCCACCATACCCTGACCCATAGTCAGACTCTTCCTTTCTTCCACCATACCCGGATCCATATTCAGACTCCTGTTTCCTTCCACCATACCCAGATCCATATTCTGATTCCTCCTTTCTCCCACCATACCCGGATCCATATTCAGACTCCTGCTTCCGCCCATACCCAGATCCATATTCGGATTCCTCCTTTCTCCCACCATACCCGGACCCGTAACCCGACCCATATTCAGAGTCCTCCTTTCTCCCGCCATATCCGGGCTGGCCGGCGGCGGGGTTGAAGGAGGCGGGGGCGGGGTGGGGCTTGGGGCGGGCGTAGCTGCTGTACTCGGTGGCGAGGGCTTCGTCGGCGTAGGCGGAGGGCTCGGCGGAGGAGGTGTACTGGGGGCGGTCGTAGTCGAAGGCGTCGGAGGAGGAGGCGGTGTTGGCGTAGCAGGTCTCCTCGGAGGGTGGGAGGGGGCGGCCGTAGGTGAGGGCGATGTCGTAGCCGCCGCCGTAGGGCGTCGGGTCGTACTCGTCGTAGTCGTCGACCGTGTCGTCGCCGCCGCGGTTCCGGGAAAAGAACGACATTTTGAGTGATGATTGGGAGATTGGAATGACGAATGGTGAAGCTTCCGGATCCTCAGCAGAGATGGTTTGTGCTTTATAGCGGAGAATGTGGTGAACGATGTTGATGTTGATGTTGATGTTGATGATGATTGTGACCGAGTCTCAACGACATCGTTTGTGGTCGTTTGCTCTTGATTTTTGTTTCGTGGACCCTACAACGCTACATCGTGGCGTGTAATAATCAAAATCACACTATCGTTAATTACTTATTTAGGTTTTAATTTTTCTCCGTGTTGTGAGAACTTAAATGGTCAGATTCGGACTGATGTTACGAGTTCATCACTAACTAAACTATATAAATTAATATTAATTCAATGTTTTAAATTTTATATTGAAAATATTATGTGTAAGTTAAACTTCTCGCACATTATATAAAGTGAGATGCTAGTATAATACTTTATGGTGTATTTATAAGAGAAGAAAGAAATAGCTAAAAAAAAATATAGAAAAATAAATAAATAGAAACAGATAAGAAATAAAATGAAAAAATCAATTATTATTTGTGTTCCGGTCACGAGGTGCACTAGGGTTTTTTCCTAGGTCAGACCTCAAAGCCAGAGCATTCAAGAGTGTAATCTGCCTTCTCAATTTTAGGGTTTTTTCTTTTATAGTTTCTTGTTTACGGGCTTTATGGGCCCCGAGAATGTAGGGATTTCCTTAACCGTTTTGATCTGGCTAATATTTGGTGAGGGACAGTGGGACCTTGCCCTTGCTATCAGGTAGTCCCTGTATGCGAGAGTTGTGTCGGCCCCCGACCGACCATACCGGTACTGAGGGTACAGTCGGGTATTGGCCGGGGTGGGTCTTGGAAGCGGAAGGAATCGAAAATATACCGACCAGGTTAAGTAGAGAAACCAAGTCGAATAATAACCGAACCACTCTTAGAGGAGTGATCGGCAAGAGCTACAGTCGGCCTGGCATATCGGCGAGAGCTACAGTCGGCCTGGCATATCGGCGAGAGCTATAGTCGGCCTGGCATATCGGCGAGAGCTACAGTCGGCCTGGCATATCGGCGAGAGCTATAGTCGGCCTGGCATATCGGCGAGAGCTACAGTCGGCCTGGCATATCGGCGAGAGCTATAGTCAGCCTGGCATATCGGTGAGAGCTACAGTCGACCTGACACAGTCGGCCTGACACATCGGCGAGAGCTACAATCGGCCTAACATACGTAGTAGGCAGGTCGGAATCCGACCTGGACCGTACCAAATAAAAGCAAAAAATAAGCACAAACAAATAGGTCCTAAATCATGTTGATTGTGGAAGAATTCAAAACAATCAAACAATGGATCTATGGAACACAAATATTCAAAGCAAAATAGATCCGAATATAAAACTCAAGTAAGACACAAAAATACACAAAGAACAAGACCACAAACACACAAAAATGAAGAACACTTATCTCCTTGAAGACCTTGCTCTTGATACCAAAATTGATGGAAAAGGTAAGGAGAAGAGAATGGAGTTCTTATTTTTATCTTCTCCTAGCTCGGATCTTCTTCAATGGAGATGGTATTCGAAGTTGATGAACACTTGAAGGAGGGGGAAACTCGGATGGAATGAGGTTAAGCTTGGATGGAAGTATCCAAGCTTAAGGAGCAATGGATTGCTCACTTCAAAGAGAAGGAAGGAGATGAACTTCCTAGGGTTTTGAAGGTGAACACTCTTGGTGACTTTGAAGAGAAACTCGGCAATATTTTGCTCTCAAATTTCATTAAGCTCAAAGTAATTACAATGTGTGAAGGAGGGAACATTTAAGCATCCGAAAATTAGGAGGACAATTGGCGCCACATGTGTGGCCTCCACATTGGCGCCAAGATTTGAATTTAAATTTGAATTTGAATTCAAATCTTGTCACACATGTGTATGACCGGTCCCATGAGTGCTAGGTGTATTTAGGTTTGATTTAGTGTGCATTTAGGGTTGAATTTGAGTCACACATGTTCAGCCAAGGTGGCATCATCCATGTGACTCAAAATGCAACTTAAATGCATGCTAAATTAAACCTAGTTTTTGCCTAATTCACTTAAACTATTAATCCTCCTTAAATCCTAATCAAATGACCTAAATACAATGGTCCAAGAAATACAATGAATAGGAAAAATTACAAGAAAGAGAATGAGCCCAATATTGGGTATCAAAAGCCCAAAGCCCATGAAGCCCAATTACAAGCCCAAAGTTCACAAACCCTAATCTATGGTCAAAATACAAGACCAAAAACAAAGTAACTTCCTACTCTATGAATTTGCAATAAATCATAAAAGGAATGGACATATCAAGATAGGCCCATGTGAAGTTTGTCTTGGGCCTTTCAAGCTCTTGAGGCCCATTGGGCCTTGACTAGCCCAATCCTCCATGTCTAGCCCACTCCTCTTGGATCTTGTAGTGTGTCACCTCTTGCATTCCAAAGTATGATTCCATCAGTTTCACACGCCTTGAATCACTACAACTTTACTCCACTATAGTTCTCTATGCTCTCAAAAAGGCTACGAAAGAAGGAAGAAATCTTAGGGATCAAAGTTCTTTTTTTAACTTCTTTCTAATTTTTTGAAGAAATGAATTTATGAAATTTACTTCTAATGAAAGGCCATATATACCTTATCGTAATAGGTGAAACTTGACCTCACTCAAAGCAACTCCTAAACAACTAAAACCCCTAAGAATTCCTAAATTCCTAGAGTTTCTCAACAATTAAACAATCAAATAACCATAACACGTAATTCAATAAAATCAACAATTAAAATGAATAGAGTTACAATTTTCCCCAACAAAAAACCCTAAATCATGTTGATTGTGGAAGAATTCAAAACAATCAAACAATGGATCTATGGAACACAAATATTCAAAGCAAAATAGATCCGAATATAAAACTCAAGTAAGACACAAAAATACACAAAGAACAAGACCACAAACACACAAAAATGAAGAACACTTATCTCCTTGAAGACCTTGCTCTTGATACCAAAATTGATGGAAAAGGTAAGGAGAAGAGAATGGAGTTCTTATTTTTATCTTCTCCTAGCTCGGATCTTCTTCAATGGAGATGGTATTCGAAGTTGATGAACACTTGAAGGAGGGGGAAACTCGGATGGAATGAGGTTAAGCTTGGATGGAAGTATCCAAGCTTAAGGAGCAATGGATTGCTCACTTCAAAGAGAAGGAAGGAGATGAACTTCCTAGGGTTTTGAAGGTGAACACTCTTGGTGACTTTGAAGAGAAACTCGGCAATATTTTGCTCTCAAATTTCATTAAGCTCAAAGTAATTACAATGTGTGAAGGAGGGAACATTTAAGCATCCGAAAATTAGGAGGACAATTGGCGCCACATGTGTGGCCTCCACATTGGCGCCAAGATTTGAATTTAAATTTGAATTTGAATTCAAATCTTGTCACACATGTGTATGACCGGTCCCATGAGTGCTAGGTGTATTTAGGTTTGATTTAGTGTGCATTTAGGGTTGAATTTGAGTCACACATGTTCAGCCAAGGTGGCATCATCCATGTGACTCAAAATGCAACTTAAATGCATGCTAAATTAAACCTAGTTTTTGCCTAATTCACTTAAACTATTAATCCTCCTTAAATCCTAATCTAATGACCTAAATACAATGGTCCAAGAAATACAATGAATAGGAAAAATTACAAGAAAGAGAATGAGCCCAATATTGGGTATCAAAAGCCCAAAGCCCATGAAGCCCAATTACAAGCCCAAAGTTCACAAACCCTAATCTATGGTCAAAATACGGAGAAGAGAATGGAGTTCTTATTTTTATCTTCTCCTAGCTCGGATCTTCTTCAATGGAGATGGTATTCGAAGTTGATGAACACTTGAAGGAGGGGGAAACTCGGATGGAATGAGGTTAAGCTTGGATGGAAGTATCCAAGCTTAAGGAGCAATGGATTGCTCACTTCAAAGAGAAGGAAGGAGATGAACTTCCTAGGGTTTTGAAGGTGAACACTCTTGGTGACTTTGAAGAGAAACTCGGCAATATTTTGCTCTCAAATTTCATTAAGCTCAAAGTAATTACAATGTGTGAAGGAGGGAACATTTAAGCATCCGAAAATTAGGAGGACAATTGGCGCCACATGTGTGGCCTCCACATTGGCGCCAAGATTTGAATTTAAATTTGAATTTGAATTCAAATCTTGTCACACCGACGAGAGTTATAGTCGGCCTGGCATATCGGCGAGAGCTACAGTCGGCCTAGCATATCGGCGAGAGCCACAGTCGGCCTGGCATATCGGTGAGAGCTACAATCGGCCTGACACAGTTGGCCTGACATATCGGCGAGAGCTACAGTCGGCCTGACATACGTAGTAGGTAGGTCGGAATCCGACCTGGACCATACACTAGCCCTCCAGCGCTGAGCCTATAAGGCGGAAGGGCTTTGCTAGACAGGGGGTCGGCTTAGCCATGACCGACATGTCCCTCGTGGAGGCCCCTAGTCAGATTTCGTCCTGGACCGTACAATTTGATTTAAGAGAAATAAGAAAGAAATTGAGAAGAAAATAAATTTTTATATATTTTTTTATCATAATTTATCATCTATATGTAAATATGTTTTAATCAATTATAATTTTTTTTAAATTGATTTAGACTTTTAAATCGATGATGTGTTTAAAATATTAAAAAAAATAATTTTGCTGGTATTTTAAATATATCTATATCTTTACTCCTCCCGTTTAAAATATATCACCAAGTCATATGTTATTAATTACAAATATATTATACATATGTACATATATTTATATTTTAATTTATATTAATTTATGTAGTTCAATCTTTACTTTCTCATGTATTTATTCATACAAAGCTAAAATAAAATAATTTTAGATAATATGAGATTTGAATTCAAGTGAATGTGATTGCTTAAAAAGTTAGTGATCACTAAACCAACATATTCTACTATTATATAATTAATTTAAATAATTTTTTTAATATATTTTCATTTTAAAATTATATATTAATTTAAACAATTCAACCAATCTATAATTTAGTTTCTCTATTAATATTATACTAACT